TTTGTTTCCCAGCAAGTGACAATGTAAGGAGCCTTTGTCCCACCAGCTCCAGAGTAATGACGCAGAGACTTCTTATTAATTACGAAAGCTTGAACTTAGTTTAGGCTTGTTTCTAACTAGTTCTTATAACTTAAGTTAACCCATTTATGTTAATCTACATTCTGCCATGTGGCTCAGGGCTATTACCTCTCCTCCTACACATCCTGCTTTCTCTGCGTCTCCTGGGGTCTCCACCTTTTTTCTTTCCCAGCTTTCTCTTCCCAGAAATTCTGACACCTCTCGCCCCCCCCCCCCAGCTGTTGGACGGTTAGCTTTTTACTAATGCAATCACAGTGACATATCTTTACACAGTGTAATTAAATATCTAGCAACAGACAATATCTGGGAGGACTTGGTGCCTTAAGGAAATGTCTGGGCTACCAGAAAGAAGTAGATCACTTGGGGCAGTAAACCCAAATTCAAATAAGCCTCACCTCAGGCTCCTCCACCCCAGCCACCTTGCCTTTCCTGCCCTGAGGGACAGTAACCCCCACTGATGCTGTCCCAGTAGTCAGTGTGTGGATCAGATTTTTACAGGTTTGTGACACTTTATTCAAAGAACTATAATTAAGGTGTAAATATATTGCAAAGTAGCAAGAAAACTATTCCAAATCAAAGTGATTAGTAGTATGGATCAAAAAGAAGCAAGCTATCAAGAGTAACAGAGAGCCATGAGGGTCACATTAGGCAAGAGTCCCAAGCTATTTCCTAGACCTTCTTTTATGACGTCTAAAAGAAAGACTGCCTACTAAGGAGTCTAATTTGTGTGATTCCCTAATTTGATTGACAGATGAGTCGTATAACCTTTTTAATCTACTGTGTGATTATATAAGCAGATATAGATATATTCAAGTTATAAGTGTTTCTCTGCTGTCCTTTCCTACATTGCACCTAACTTTCTTACTCTGCATCCCCAACTATGAATATGTATAAGACACTTTACCTTATTGGGTATGCATTCAAAACCAGCTCAGGATGGGTCAGCCCCTTGCTCTGGTACCCAGCTGTAAACTGGAACTATTTTATGACACAAACTATCCACAGCGGATGGCTGTCACGAGGAAAAGAAAGTTATCCTGTTATTTAGAGTAGGGTGACTGTGTAGCTTGATGTGTCTGGTGTCTTAGACAGCTAAGCACATTGTCAGGAGGGAGGTGTGTGTACAGCCCAAAGCAAGTGGAGTCCCAGGCTGCTAAGCTATTCCATATACTTTCCTGCTCCCAAAACATGAGTCAAGATAAACTTCTTTCTTATTTCTTATTTCTGAAAGAAAGTTTGGTCCCTTTGATGCAAACAGTAACCAAGGCAGCGGGTGAGAGGGCTTTGAGGGTTCCACACTTACATCACTGATCACCCCAGAAAAGAACTAGGGTTATTTCGTAGGTAGTAAAAGGCCCAAGAATTCTTTATCACCCCGTGTAGTCCATCTTGGGTCACTCTTTCCTCCCTAAACTAACCATATGGTCTGTATCAGGGTATTCTAACTGGACTTGGATGCCACAGATCCTCCATTACTGAATCTAAAAAGGCCCGGGAGCTGATGATTTGTGGGCCAACAGGATTATGTAGGTAATGGACAAGAGATTCCTTTGAGGTGTGGCACTTTCAGAAGATATAGAACAGAGTCACAGACTACACATCAGTCTGTCATTTTGCTGGTGTCTTCCTGGGAGGCAGAATCGTGGTGATACCCATAAGGGCTTCCTGTCATGCCTTTTGTGTGTGTGCATGCGTGTGTGTGTGTGTGTGTGTGTGTGTGTATGTTTGAAGTCTACTCAAGAAAGGCTGAAGAGTGTAGCTAAATGTAGGTTACATGACATACAAGCACAAAGACCTGGGATCAATACCCAGAAACATATAAACAAATCTACCACCACCACCAAATCATCTCACCATAGTTTCAAAAAGGACTTCAAGTTCTGCTTTTCCTGTGTGGCTGAAAACTAGATGGGAATTAGAAAACTTCAGTTGACCTGGGTACACAACAAAGTTACAGAGAAAATCATGGGCAGAGACCCATGTATAGTTCTCAGGTTCTCTCCGATCTCCAGTTCTGTCTCTCATGGTACCCTGCCAGTCCCCAACCACTATTGTTAGGAGGAATGCGGGTGCACTTCAATAGACTTTAAAGGAAAGCCCTGGAGCAGGCTTCTCTTACTTGCAGCAATGAACCCTAACAACTGTACTAAGTTTTAGGAAAGGGACCAGTGAGACACTCTTTCCTAGGCACAAAACTCCTAGTATACTGTAACGAGAACAAAACTGGTCCCAAGAATGTTCGTCTCTAGCACAAAGCTCGCAAACACCAAGTCACGCCACCAGAGGTGCACAGCAGGTGGGAAGATCTGGAGCCAAACCTTAATTTAGAAAGAGACAGAACAGTAATGAGTTGGTCCTGTGCAGCAGCTAGCTTGTGTTCTGTAACTACTCCATCAACTGAACCAGAGAGGATCGTGTACGCTGGAGCCAGCAGGGCAGGCTGAGTTAAAATATTCTGTTCACATCAGCATAGCTATTGCCACATGATTTCCAAACAAATTAACTTAGGGTCACACTGACTCAGGGCAAACCAATCATATCCACTGTTCAAAGTAGTATAGTTAATGAGATTTTAGCACAGGCTTCATCCGGTCAAGAGAGCAATTACTATTCATCGGAATTCATAACGCCTCAGTATTACTAACATCAAGCTAATTCCACATACTATAAACAAATGAAAAAAAAATAGACATTTTCAAACCCTGTGAACTTGGGCAAGCAGTTGATCTCTGAGTACCAGCATGCTTCTCGGTTAAAACTGTTTAAAATGTCATGTCATATGACTGTTGCAAAACAAACACTTTGTAGACTTGTCCCTTTTAAAACTCATGTTGAATTTTAAGTGCCATTGTGACAGTATTTAGAGGGTAGGCATCGAGGATCCACCATCTAAAATGGATTAATGCCATTATACATGGAGCAGGCTCATTATTGTGGGAGAGGGTTCACTATATAATTAATTTTTAAATGATATAACATTGTACATATACATCATATGATATTCAAATTAGAGTCAATACGCTGGTTAGTTTATTTGAAACAAACTGCAGTCACCTAGCAAGAAGGAACCTTAATTGAAGAACTGCCTCCATCAAACTGGCCTGGGGGCAAGTCTGTGGGACATTTTCTTAATTAGTGATTTATGTGATAAGGGCCAGTCAACCATGGGTGTTGCCACCCTGGGCAGGTCATCCTGGGTTAGATCAGGAAGCAGGCTGGGCTGGCTGTGGAAAGTAAGACAGCAAGCAATGCTCTCCAGTAGTTTGTGCTTCAAGTTCCTGCCTCGGCTTCCCCAGATAATGAGCACAACCTGTAATCCAAACATATCCTTCCTTCTCAATGTTGCCTTTGGTCAGAGTTCTATCACAGCAACGGGGAGGCATGCTAGGGCAAACCTACCTACTGCTGCTACTACTCCTTCTGGTTCTCATTTGCCCGTCTGTAAGATCACACAAACATGAGTATCTGTGGAGGCCAGAAGGAGGTGTCAGGTGCCCTGGACCTGGAGTTGCCTGACATGGGTGTTAGAAATTGAACACGGGTCCTCGGCAAGTGCTTTTAACCACCAAGCTATATCTTTAGTTGCCACATTTTCCTTCTTAATGGTTAGTAATTTTGCCTACTACATAGTTCTGAACAGATGCCAGCTCTCACTACTTCTGAACTATAACAGTGCCTTATTTCAGACAGGGGAACTTTCCCTTGGGCAAAGTTATTCCATATATCTCTCTAGCCACTTGAGATTCACCACTTTGGGTTGACAATCTCTGCTATAATTCAGAACATTCTAGTTACAAGTGCAAAGCAGCATATTCAAACCTTCTGAAAAGAAGTTTTCAGAGTAGTCTCAGTCCTCCTAACGAGTGTTAATGAAGAGAAGTATGAGGGAAACAAGACTCTTGAGACAGTTTGAGGTTGGGTTCTCGTCGTGGATGTTGGCAAGTCTCTATCATGTGGATTTTCTGCCATCTACTGGTCATTCTTGCAAAAGACAACTATGTCCTTGGCGTTTGGTCAGTTTGTCGGTAGTGTATTTGAAGTTTTGTCTTTACTTGTCTAAATATTTAGGGATGCTATGTCTTCAGGATAGAGACACCTCCTTGATCTTGGAGTTGGGAATGTACCCCAGATGGTAGAGTGCTCACCCAGCATGCACGAAGCTGTGGGTATGAACTCCAGTACCACACACACCTGGTGTCGTGGGCCCTCCTGTAATCTCACATACTAGGGAAGCAGAGGCAGGAAGCAGAGTAATCCTTGCCACGTAGTGAGTTTGAAGCCAGCCTGGGATACATGAAACCCTGTCTCAAAAACAGAAATTGTTGGTCTTTATATCATTATAGTATTTTTCTCTGATAGTAATATGGTAACTTAACTCAGAGACACAGACTGAAAGGCTTAAACAGTCTCAAAGGCAGATGTACAGAAAGACCCAAAGAAAAAGGACCTAGGAATCTAAAGCAGGTCCATCCACGCCCTCATTCTAAACCTGGTTGCTTTGCCGAGGTGCTGGAGCACAACTGGAATCTGTCCTGACTTGTGTTTAGGACGCAGATAGAGACTGAGGGAGAAAGATCGCGAATTTAAAGCCAGCCTGGACTATATATAAGGAGTCTCCGACTCAAAAGCAAAATGAACAAAACTGTCAGCTTGGAGTTCCTTCTGCTCACTTAGACAACCCCACGCGCGCAGCCTTAAGGATGTACCACCTCTACTTGCTTAGAAACACCAGATTCCTTACTACAGTGGCTGCCCCGCGGCAGAATCCTCAGCCAACCAGAACGCAGCAGTCCCTGAAAGCCCCACCCCTCCACCCCGCCCCAGGCTTGGGTGGATGGTTTAGCTGGCTCGATCCGCAGCATCTCTCCTTGCCAGTAGGGAGGGCTCGTGTTGCCCGCACATACCAGCCCTAAGCAGCCTACCTTTGCCTCCGCAGTGCCCCTTCCCGCACAGGCTGGCGCGGTTCAGACTCCCAAGAGTCAGTCCTACAAGCAGAGCCCCGCCTCTTGCTTCAGCACCCGAGTCCCATAGGCTGACTGGACTGCGCGCGACGTTACGATTGGAAGGAGAGACTGTCCGTCAAGAAGACGCTCCGCCCCACGACCGCCCCAGCCTCTCTTGTTGAAAAAAGACGGGTGAAGTTGTCCTAGTTCTGAGGGAGCGAGTTCATTGGTTCGGCGCGATCTCGCTCCAGTCAAGACACGAACAGACTCAAGGTTTCGGTTAGAAACAGTGAGATGTCAGTCAAGGAATGGCATTTACCAATGAGCGCATAGTATTTGCAGAGGCGCTACCAGAATGGGGCGGGGCAGAAGGGAAGGGCTACTCTTGATTGGGTGAAAGGAACAAGGCTCCGCCCTCCTGACCCAGCGTGCTGGCTGCGCCCTCTTCAGCCGGTAGTTTTGGGTACTAGAAGTGTTCCGCTCCCGCCCCGCTTTACAGCCCACCCTGGCTGCGTCCAGAAGAGGGTCGCTCAGAGAAGATTCTATAGAGTTTCGTGAGAGTCCCGCGCCATCTGCTACGGTGAGGGAACGCAGCGTTCGGCGGCCCTCGGCGCTGCGGGGAGTAACTACCACTGTGAAACCGGAAGTGTCCCTGGAGGCGTCGCTTCCGGAAGTGTGGCATATCCCCACAACCACCACACCAGGAAGTGTGGTGCCGCCGCGGCTCCTGGAAGTGTTGCTCTCCACCCAACTGAGATGCGGGGTTGAAACAGGTGTCAGTGTATCGCTGTTTGCGAAGGCTCAGCGGAGCGTCACCCTTCCGAAAGTGCCGGAGGGTGCAAGTATTTGATCATGGTTTTGAATGTCGCGTCCTGTCGGAAACCGTAGGGGAAACAGCACTAGGAGCGTTGCCAGGGAGCCTGGCTCCCTAAAGGCTTTTAAGAAGTTTTCTGTTGCTGCCCATCACCCTCGATTCCCCTTCTCCCCAGGGATGTGCAGATGGAGTCCGGAGAAGGTAGTGCTGTCCCAGACCCCGGGGGCGTGGAGGACTTGGTGGACACGCAGTTCCCCGTTGAGGAGGCTGGAGACAGTGAAGGGGTTCACTCGAGCACGCCGGATCCCGGAGATGGGGACCCGGAGGACACAGGTATAGCTCTCCTCAACCGAGTCTTGGAAGTAGTCACTGGGGGTTGTCATTGCTAGCTGAGGGGGAAAGAGTGGGCAGTGGAGACCAGTGGGCAGTGTTCGGGGCCCCAAGAAAGTAGCTTGAGGCATAGCTCGATCAGTCATTGGTCACAAACTTGCTAATTTAATTGAAATCACTGAGAAATGACAAAGAAGTCAATGGGGGTCAGCTGTTGTCCGGGAGGGGCAAATGTATCCTATCGTGAGGGGTCAATGGTAGGAGGATGGGCTATGCTAACTTGTCTGGAATCGGCCCGTTTTAACATTGGAGTTCCCACATTCCGGGATACCCTTCTGTTGTAGGGAAATCAGAATGTACTTGACCTGAGGTTAGATCCCTGAAGAATCAAAATGGGCGTGGTTGGGTTCAAAAAGGGTCATCTTGACAGTAATGGGAATGGAGACAAGTTGCTTGGGTATTTGGAAACGGGATTATCAGTGCACAATTAAGAAAATAGGAAAACATTGGGTGTGAGAAAATTAGATGAGGTTACAAACCTATGATTGCTGTTGGGTGGCACAGTAGATGTCAGTGACTGTGGGGATGAATGTGTGTGTAGAAGGAAGCAAGGGGTTTCATCCTGGGGGAAGAGCAGTGGAGGTATGAAAGCCTTATATGTTAGTGATGATTAATGGTGGACATTGATAGAGTGGAGGGGCATGGAGCCACCATGTAGGTTCTTGAAGACTAAAGTGTTGCTGATATTAAATGTACTTGCTAAACTGTTAATGCAGCAGTGTAAGTAAATAGGGGGAGTGGCTGAAGGTTTGGAGAGTCCTGGTGATTTGGATGTCAGTGGCTGTTAATGGCTACTCTAATGGCAGAATCAAGGATCGTTACTGGGAGTGTGGTTAACCAAGAGTGTCAGTGGGCGTCACTCGGGATTGGTGGATGTGGAGGAGGGTCAAAAGGATTAGGAGAGTCAGTGGGTGTAGTTTACTGGTGGCCTTTGAGGGGTAAGTACACATCAGAATAAACAAGGGGTCAGAGAAGTTAGTGAAGAGCCACTGTAGATAAACAGATTAATAGTTATTTGGAGAGTGGGGCGCTTTGAAGACCTAGGAATGGCAGTGCTGAATGGGGGGGACCAGTAAACGACAGTGAGAACATGTGTTTTCGGGTGGGGCTCATTCAAACCTTAGTGGACACAGGTAGGAAGGTTCCAGCCATTGTCACCCATTGTTCACTGAATAGCTAGGAAGACGTATGGAGAGTTTTGTCAGCATGCATGGGGGTCAGGGGGCTGGTAAGTATTTGATAGATTGTTGAAATACGGGGTTAGCAGGAGATGAACCACTCAGGGCTCCCTTTCAGGATCCAAGGCCAAGGACCAGGCAGCCAGTCTCCTACCACCTTTGCCTCCAGCTGAGGCCCCATCAAGCACTGGTGAGCCCTGGAAAACTGCAGCTTCCGATGACAATCCTCCTGGAGAACCTGAGGGTAGTTCTGAGGACCAGGGAGAAGACCCCGTTGATGGGGACCCCAATGACGGGGACCCTAGTGATGAGGACTGGCGCAGCCAAAGGAAGCACGTGTTTGTGCTGAGTGAGGCAGGCAAGCCGATCTACTCACGGTATGGTAGTGTGGAGGCCCTGTCTGCCACCATGGGTGTGATGACGGCCCTGGTGTCCTTCGTACAGAGTGCAGGAGATGCCATCCGAGCCATCTACGCCGGTGAGTGAAGAGAACAGGGGACAGAATGGGGGCTGGTGGTAATATGACTAGGAGTTCGGTGGTCTGTAACTAGCCGTGGGTAGCTCTGCCTGTCTCCTGTATACGTGAGTCTCTGTCTAGCCACCAGAAGTGAGTCAGTGAGGGTATCTGTCGGGGGGTTCATCTCTTTGGGTTCCATCCATGTGCCTGGCAGTACACCACCCAGTTGTCTGGGAGTGCAGAGGTGTGCTGTGTGACCTGGCTTTGTTTCCGTCCTTGTCCGGTTTACCATTCCCACCACCCTGACTCCATGTTGTCTGTCTAAATTACATGATTCCTCCACAGCCCACGTATCTCTGCAAACGTCCCAATATCCCCAGCTTGTCCGTGCCCTAATTTGAGTGCTGGCAGAGTCCAAGTGCAGGCACAGACCAGGGGATGTATGTGTCGGAGAGTGTTTGGGAAAGCTGTCCTGTCTGATCCCTGGCTCATTCCTGGTCTGCCTCTGTCCCTGCCCACTCTTCCTTCCCCTAGAGGACCACAAGCTGGTGTTCCTGCAGCAGGGTCCACTCCTGCTGGTGGCTGTGTCCCGGACTCCACAATCGGCCGCGCAGTTACGGGGCGAGCTGCTGGCAGTGCACGCACAGATTGTGAGCACACTCACACGTGCAAGTGTGGCCCGCATCTTCGCACATAAGCAGAACTATGACCTCCGTCGTCTGCTGGCTGGCTCCGAGCGCACACTGGACCGGCTCCTGGACAGTGTGGAGCAAGACCCTGGTGCCCTGCTCCTGGGTGCTGTGCGCTGTGTGCCTCTGGCCCGTCCACTGCGGGATGCCCTGGGTACACTTCTGCGGCGCTGTACAGCCCCGGGCCTGGCTCTGTCAGTGCTGGCTGTTGGCGGTCGACTGATAACAGCAGCCCAGGAGAGGAATGTGCTGGCTGAGTGCCGGCTGGACCCAGCTGATCTGCAGCTGCTGCTTGACTGGGTGGGTGCGCCGGCCTTTGCAGCAGGTGAGGCATGGGCACCTGTGTGCCTGCCTCGCTTCAACCCAGATGGTTTCTTCTATGCCTACGTGGCCCGCCTGGATTCCATGCCTGTCTGCCTGCTACTGCTTGGTACCAACCGGGAAGCTTTCCATGCCATGGCTGCCTGCAGGCGCTTGGTTGAAGATGGAATGCACCACCTTGGTGCCCTGCGTACCCTTGGGGAGGCTGCCAGCTTCTGTAACGGACCTGCAGCCAGTGCCCCTGCCTACAGTGTGCAGGCTGTGGGAGCACCTGGCCTCCGTCATTTCCTCTATAAACCACTGGACATCCCTGACCAACACCGCCAGCTACCACAGTTTACCAGGTGGGCCCTGACCCTGCAGGCGATTGGAGATATGTCTAACCAGGACTGTCAGCGTCTTATACACATGAGTTAGGAGAGCTAGCCAGCCGTGCTCTAGAAAGGGGGAGCAGACAGTTCTCTGTTCTAGTGGGGAAAGGCCCTCCTTCCTAGTTTAATGGAGGCAGCTTGGCTTACAACCGACAGAAACCCTCAAGTCTAAGGCGGGAGGCTGAGCCCCATAACCTAATTGCAGTCCCTAGACTGTGCTGGACGGCAGGCCCAACGCCAACTCACGGTGCTGCTGCCTCCCTCTGTTGCAGTCCTGAGCTAGAGGCCCCGTACAGCCGCGAGGAGGAGCGACAGCGACTGTCCGACCTGTATCACCGCCTGCACGCTCGCCTCCATAGCACCTCCCGGCCCTTGCGCCTCATTTACCACGTGGCTGAGAAGGAGACGCTGCTGGCCTGGGTGAGTTGGTCATGCTGTCAGTAAATCAGTTCCCTACTGCAAGCCTGCTTTCCCTGTGGTGAACCTTTAGCTTTAGTACCCTCTGTAGGCACACAGGGACTTGCCCAGGCTTTGCCTCTCTCTGCACCGCTGACCCTATGGGCACATGTGTCTTAAACTATAGAAGGATTTCTCGTCATATGCAGCCCTACCTTAGGCCTGCCATTCCTTTGCTTTCCCCCATGAGCAGTCAGGACAGGCAGGGTCTTGGCCTTTCACGGATCCCATCTGCTGCTGTCACTATGCTTGCCAATTCCCTGTCTACCGGGATAGAGTCCCCAGCTCTCCTTGACCACTGCAGGTTCAGGACCACTCCGTGCCCTCTACCCGGAGTGCCCTTCCTGTGGGACTGTTAAAAATCAGCTACTGAGGGAGGCTGGCGGCCAGGCAGGCAGACCCATAGGAAGGAAAGCCTTCCCCACCACATTCTGTAAACAACAGTGCATATTAATATGGATCCAGCGCTGTTCTAGGTTAGGGTTTTGGTTCTTGGTTTTTGTTGTTTCTAATTTTCAAGTAACTCTGGAGTTGGAAGTAGTAAAGCTAGTATAAAGAATTACCATAAAATGACCTTTCACTCACGTTCCCCTTGTGTTTTACCTTGTGAAAGGTAAACTTTCACAAAACTGTGATGACGTGCCAAACCCGGGTGGTTGCCACTGCTGTAACACAGAATCCACAGGCTTCATTAGCCTTCGGCCAGCTGTCCGTTCATGTCAGCTTACTGGTCCAGAACCCAGCCCAGGATCACATGGTGGACCTGCTTTTTTATGTACCCTGGTCTCATCTGTTCTGAAAAGGTTCCCCAGGCTTTGTTGCCTTGGCACTTTCGAAGGATATCAGTAAGCTGTCTCATCACAGTGAGAAGTTATGCACCAAGTGGCACGAGCCAGTTTCCGCTCTGTTTCAGGGCATGTGATGCACGCTTGGATGCTTAGTTAAGGTGGAGTCTGTCACATTTCTACTAGAAAGTGCTTCTCCTTTGTAACTAGCCCCTGTGGCACCTATGGACTCTGTATTTGTGGGTTTTAGAATTAGACACCTCCTTCTCATTTTAATATGCCTTCTTGGTTTGAAATACAGCAGTTACTAGGTTTTTGCCTGCTGGCAGTTTTTCTAACTGCCCTACTTTTTACATTTATAGTTGGGACTTTATATAAGAACAAACTTCTTATTGGTTTTTTTAATTAAGAACTACATTTACTTAGCATGTATGTGTGCACACATATGATAGGTGTAGAAGCTAGTGGACAGCTTGTGGGAATCCATACTCTCCCTTCTACCAGGTTGTCAGGCTTGGTGGTAAGGGCCTTCTTCCACTGAGGCAACTCACTGGCCCCAAATTTTATATTTTAACTATGGCCCCATGAGATTTCTCTTGAGTTTGGCAGTTTAAAATAGTACCTAGCATTTACTGCATTTGTTTCTGACTTAGCCTGTGGACTCTATGACTTGGGCAGCCTGGGCCCTGTTTCCCACCAGCATATTTCTGTCTCTGTGCACACAGCTGGCTCACTTTACTTACTCCATCCTTACTGGACGTGGCATTTTGCCAAGGAGCCTCACCAGCTTTTTCTAGGGAGTTGGCATTTTAAAACCAAGACACAGTAGGCCCAGGGCTGTACATCAGTGCGTGGGAGGGGGTTTTTCTGAATAGATGACTTCCCACTGAAGTGAAGGTGGCGAGCAGCCTGGGGGAGCAGCTGCAGGCATAGAGAAGGGACTACAGGGCTGCAGCTGGCTGCGTTTGAGGAACAGCAAAGAAAGACCAAAGTTGCTGGGGCAGAACGAGATCACCAGGGAGAGCAGCGGGAAGTGGCACAGAAAAGGAACTGAAGACCTCTGGGGTCGATCTCGGGGTGGTGTGAGGACCACGTGTGCAAGGCCATAGGGGAAGGAGGACAGAACAGCCTTGTGTGTGATGATTGCTCACTGAGTATTGAGTGTTGGTGTTACTGTTATCTCTAATCCACAGATAAGCAAACTGAGAAGTGCGCACACACATACAGAGAGAGAGAGAGAGAGAGAGAGAGAGAGAGTGAGAGAGAGTCAGAACGATCCAGTTGAGCCACTGATCTAGCTGACCTCTTGTCTGCCCTTGATAGGATAATCCCAGATCGCCTGCCTTAGCCCAGCAGTCACACCCAGTTGCTGCCTAGCACGTCTCCAAGCTTCAGGAGCACCCAAGGTTGTGCTTGGGAGGCCAGGATTATTCCTGGCCAGCTCTAGCCCATCTGACTGTCTCCTCCCCATCTTCCTAGGTGACCTCCAAATTTGAGCTCTATACTTGCCTCAGCCCCCTGGTGACCAAGGCAGGTGCCATCTTAGTGGTGACGAAGCTCCTGCGCTGGGTGAGGAAGGAAGAGGACCGGCTTTTCATCCGTTACCCCCCCAAGTACTCCACACCGCCCTCCACCTCGGTGGACCAGGCCCCCAACAATGGCTTGTTCTCTGGACTCTGAATGACTGCCGAAGTCACCACATTTGGCTTTTAAATTCTGTCTCTGGAAATGTGGGTAGAAATCTGTGTGGGGCTGGTCCTGGGCAGGTGGGCAAGATCTCAGGGTTTGCCCATAACTGGGAGAAGGGGGACAGCAGCTAGGGGCACAGGTTGCTCTGCGAGCTCCCTTATGCACTTCCACATCTAGGAAAGTAAAAAACCTCCTTTGCCCTCTGCTTCACCCCGTTAACTCACCTGAATGCCACCGTACCCTTTCCCAGCTCCCCCCTCCCAGCCTCTTCTAAGCAGCACAAGTTGCTCCATGTCCATCTTCCAAGCAGACCTGAGACTGGGCTGAGGCTGTCCTCAGGGTAGGGGTGAGTAACCCACAAGGGCTCAAGAATTTGCAATACAGGACTAGTCTATGCTTGAAACCAGCCTAGAGCTGTTTAAAGAAAACTGCAGAAAGGGTCTAAAGTTGAATCCCACAAGACATTCCTCTGTCCTTCATGCCCTTCTTTTTTCTCCATCATTTTCTCCTACTTTAAAAAAAAAAAAAAGCCAAGCCCGACCAATTCAGGCTGTTTGTTACTTGTTACATGAATACTAAGGTTACCTCCAGTGTCTACCTGTGTAACACATGCCACGTGACTTCACCCAGCGGCCGGGATGCAGCTTTGCGAAGATGCTCCTAACCCCCAAGGCTTCTACTCAAGAGAGATAACTTTTTTTCAGCCCTTTCAATGTGGACCGGACAGGGCTTGGAACTCTGTTGTGCTTCCCTTCAGCACGAACACATTTGTTCTGGACGTTGGCTGCTTGTAGCAGCGAGAGCTTGCACGCACAACCCTCCTCAACAGCCCACGATCTTGTTTCCCCAGCCTTGTTTAGCATACGGCCCTGTGGTTGTGCGCATGCGTGCCATCAGTTGCGCTGCAGATGTTCTGCGCTTGCTCAGAGCAGATACCTACGTCGCCCCACCCCCCTGGTTTCCTACAATCGCTGTAGCTGCACGTGCTGCTTTTCCCAGCCACTGTTTTTCCCCATGCGCAGGTGCTCCACGTTGGGAAATGGCTGCCGAGTGGCTGGGAGCTGAGGAGGCTGAGGACGCCGGAGGTAGTGAGGGCCCACAGGGTAGAAGGGAGAGAGGCTTTGGCCCAATATAATAATCGAGAGTAGTTTTTTTAGAAAAAAAATGTTTTTAGCCTATTGAGATATTTAACTTCCACATAGTGGAAATAAATAACTTGAGTGTTCTCATCACCTAGGTTAACTTGCCAACATTATTGACGTTATTAAATACTTCGGCAGTTCTTTTCAGCATCCATTACTAAGCAAATCGGGAAGGGATAGTAATGTTCTCACAAAAACTGCCCTGTTGCTACAGCCTGCCTAGATGATTACTACATGGACCGTTCAAGGCCCTTGAGAGTGGTTTTCTCACACTGTTTTCAGATTTGTTTTGACTTAAGTAATGAAGCTTCTCTCCTCATTGGGGTCAAGGAGATGGAGTTGAGCCTAGAAACTACTGGAAATTGCATTTCCTTCAGAAGAAAATGTGTGTCACGGTAAATCCACCAGAAGAGCGTTTTTGTTTTAATTACAGAAAATTCCCAAACATTCTAAAGTAGAGAAAATAGCATGACCAGTGCCCCTGACCCTGCTTCAATGGGTTCAAACGTTGTCTTCATATCTATATCCACCTTCCCATCCTGACCGCCAGGTCTTTCACTGCATGACATACATGGGAGGCGGCATCTTGCTATACTTGTCTATTCAGATTCCAAAACAATGGGTGTGACCTTCAAGAACAACACCCGCAGTTTCCCTGGGCACCCAAAACACCTAATTGGTACTTGGTACACAATACTTTTTTTTCTTTTTTAAATGGGTGGATGATGAACTCATTCTAACAGAATCTGTCTTAAATTGTAGCCTCATTTGGGTACTCATTTTCAGAGAAGAATAAAAATCAGACAACAGTGAACCACACTTTATTAAGAGGTTGATACAGTGCCACAGGGATTTAAAATCTTAGCATCAAACTTTCTAATTCCTCATGTTCAGTGAGGGACTTCACCGCCCCTGGAGGAAGTTGGAACGAATATCAGGTTATGTTTCTTTGCCATTACATTGGGCTTAGGGGGCTCATACTCGCACCAGTGGCATCCAGGCCTTCTGGTGGAGGCTTAGGTTTTTAGCAGATGCTCTTCCACATCTGTAGCTTCCATGCTAGGTAATCACAGGTGATTGACTACCCAAACACATGGACCAAGGGCGGTCAATTCAATGGTCACTTACCGTCAGAGGCAGGGATACAAGAAGTGGTCACAAAAATGACCAAATCTAGGGAGAGTCATGTAGATGGTAGATTTTTTGAAAGAGGTGAAACGTAATTTTCAGTTGATATGATTGTTCATTTATAAAAGGTGGGCCCCAGAAGGTTGATTTTTTATTAAGTAGTTGGGGTTGTCAAGAACAGCTTCCTGGAAAGTCTCTGAGGTAAGCACACTTTGATAACTGGTTAAGGGCCTTGGATTTAGGGGAGGGGAGCAAATTGAGGCCTCTTGTGATTCATTGTTTTATTTATCGCTTAGAAAACTAGGTAGTAATATATCATTTAAAGTTAAGAGGGAAAGGGAAAGTCGAGCAGCACCTGAGAATTATACATTAGCATCAGACCAATGTTACCACCCAGGTTTTAACGGTTATTGTGCAGTTACTTGGAGTCTCTGTATATAGGAAATATGCACTGGAGTATTGAGTATTAATAGGTCATACTGTCTGCAGCTTACAGATGAAAAACACTCAAAGCATAGTGGGGATGATAGAGTACCACAGCCTATTTCTACGACTTTTGTGTACATCTGAAATAATTTCAAAATAAAATGTTAAAATGGGACTTATCCTCCACGGGCTCTTTCCTTTTGTAATAGGGAAGGTTTTTGTTGTTTTAAGTTAACAGAGATATGAAGATGGATGCTAAAAGGAAATCCCACACTAGCTCAAAACTGAGTATAATAAAAGATTATTTATTTAGGGATAGACTCACAGATCACAGTCCTCTGCTTGACTGGGGAACAGCAACCGAGCCCTGCAGCCAGAAGAGAGCAAACGTGTGCTTTACATCGGCATTTATAGTATAAGAGGCCACACCCCAGTGGGCAGATGACTTAAAGGCTATAAGAATTTCTACAGCAGAGATATTATATTTAAAACTTTTTAAATTAAAATTTTAAAATTTTCTTATCACTTGAGGACTTGAAAGATGGTTCAGCAGTTAAGAGCACTGGGTGCTCTTGCAGAGGACCAGGCTCAATTCCCAGCACCCACACTGGCTCACAGCTGCCTGTAACTCTAATACCCTCTTCTAAACCTCAACAAGGATAAAGCATACATGTGGTGAACAGACACACATGCAGGGCAAAGCATTCAAACACTTTAAATAAAGATAAAATTTTTAAAAATCATTCTTATCACTAACCAGGGGTCTTATGACTAGCAGTTAAAAGGCAGAGAGGAAAGCCACGGATGGAGCTTCTGCAGAAGTAGCTGCAAAGGCCAGCTGGAGACCACGTGGGCTCTTACATATGCTCTGAGTATTGGCAATACAACATGGTGATTGCTGATCATCCTGGGAGTGATTAGAGTAGCAGGAGAAGCAAAGGTGGCTGGGTGTTACCAGTCCTAGTGTCTGGGCCGTGTATATTCGGGTTCATCCTGACATCCTCACTCTGAGTTTGAAAGTTTTCATAAAATGTTAAGCAGACAAACACCTTGCTCTGTCATGTGCTTTTCTTTCTTTGCAAAATATTAAAATGATTTTAAATAATAAGAATGTCTCAGGAGGAGATATATCCTATATATATATGTGTGTCGTATATATATATAAGCAGAGACGAGTGTATCATGGTAAGGAGATCCAGTACCAAAGAGAAGGGGAATTTTTATTTCTTCAAAGATTTTGTAGTGTTTGTAGTTTTAGGATGTTATTTCTGTATTAATTTTTTTAAGTAAGTGACACATGAAATATATTTATTCTAAAAGGTGAAAATATAGTCAGTCTGCTGCTGACAGTGGTTAATTTTGAGAAGGGAATGTTGGTGAAATGAGACTTTTAAAATTTTACTTATATTTTCGTGTGTGTTTGTGTGTGTGTATGTGTGTGTGTATGTGTGTGTGTGTGGTATGTACATGTGAGCACAGGTTCCAGATAAGGCCGGAGAGGTCACAGGGTTCTCTGTAGCTGGAATCGGGCAGTTGTAAGCTGTCTGAGGTGGGTGCTGGGTACTGAACGTCGGGTCCTCTGGAAGAGTAGTCCTTCTGCCCTCGCTACCTCTCAACCCTCTCTCCATCCCACAGACGTTTAATGCCATGCTCTACTATCCATGTCTAAGTAACTAAAATTAATTAAAGTGCAAAGGCAAACAAATGAATGCTAGTTCATTATAGATTCCAGCGAGATCAAAAAATGCAAAGAAGATGAACAAGCACCCAACATTCAGCAAGACGAGCTCAAGGTAAAAAAGCAAACAAAAAAGAAGAGCCGCTGTACAATGTGATTGCCACTGGCTGTAAAGAATTTCACCCTACCAGGTGCCGTAACTGATGCTCTGAGGTGTCTTCAGGTTCCTACCGGATGTTAATGTTGTGGCACTGGAGCAGTGACGGTCATGTCTACCTCCGTTAACGTTAAGATCATTCTTTGGAATGGAGTTTCCGATATAGAGGAGATAAGAATGTCTTGGTGCAGAGTCCCAGAAAGCTTGAACTGAGGCGCTGGTTTTGTCAGTCAAATGTAATGACAGGCACAGCCTCTGATGTAGCGTGCGGTCTCGAAGTAGTATTCAGATGTGTCCCGCAAGCACAGGCCAAGGGACACACGTATTGTATCCAAGCACGTGTTGAATGGATACTAGGTAAAAGTGTGTCCCTCAAGCTGGCCACGGGGCTTAACATGTGCAAGGTTCCAGGTTTGATATACAGCACCCCAAAGACTAATTGAAATAAAACTATGACCCCTTCCCCAGCTTGGGTCCACCAGAGCTTCAAAGTATTACACATGATACATATGTATGAAGTTGTTGCAAAATAAAAACATAAATGCCAAGAAATGACCTTATTTGAAAACAGAATGTGCTAGTTTCGTTTCTGTCGCTGTGATAAACTGTTCTGATAAAAAGCAACTTAGGGGAGAAAGAGTTTATTTGGCGCACAGTTCCAAGTGATAGCCCATCACAGCTGTGAAGACAAGGCAGGAGCTCACGGAAGCAGCTGGGCATGCCACACACGCGCAGCCAAGAGCAGCAGGAAGGAAACACATGCGGCCATGCTGCCTTCTTACTCCCTGCTCTCAGTCAGCCTTTTCCTCTCTGTCAGGCCCCTAACTCAGGGACTAGTATAGCAATAGCTGGACCCTCCCGCATTAACTAACAGTCTAGACAGTCCCCCAGCACCGTGCCCACAGGCCAACCTGATCTAGGTCATTCTCCCTCCCATCAAGGCTTAAGTCTTCTCCAGCGATTCTAGGTTCTGGCAAGTTGATAATTAAAACCGTCAGGGCAGGAGAGAGGGCTCAGTGGTTAAGAGCACCTGGCTGCTTTTCCACCTGACCCGGGTTTGATTCCCAGCACCCACACAGCAGCTCACAACCTTCTATAACTCCAGTTAGGGGATCTGACTCCTCTTCTGACCTCTGGGCACCAGACATGCAGAGAACAGATGTACCTGCAGGTATTATCCATACACCTCCGGACCAAACAAAATACGAAGTAACCAGCGAATAGGATCTTTGCAGATACAACTACTTAGGATGAGGTCATACTGGCTTAGGATGAACCATAATTCAGTGGTAAATATCCTCACAAGAGAAAGGAAATATGGGACACAGTGACGTCAGACACAGAGGGAGGACCTACTTTATAGGACTTCGTCTCTGCAGCTGAGAAAAGGAAACAGTAACCGTGTCGCATTTGTGCCCGTGAAAGAGACAGCAGTAGGAGGCTGCTCTGAAATTACGGCATATGTATACTGGAAGACTGCACCTCCACCGAAGAAGAAACTGATCACAAGTATACCTTGTCAAGTGAAAACCAAGAGAGCTGTGACATCCTGGGCGACTTAGTGTCCTGCCTGTGGAGAAAGGGTGTTTGCCTGTATGTCAAGCACCAGCTTGGGTCACTGAATGACTTCTAAGGAGAGGAAATGGAAACTTGGGGTCTGAGGCCAAGGGACTCCTTCCTGCTGCGGAGAAGCACTTTCTGCCTGTGGTCTGTGTTTATGAGCTCTATTTCTTCTCTGTCCCGCTTCCTATGGAAAGGAGCAGGTCCCTGGGATTTGAGCTTTTATCACTGATATCAAGAATTTATGGCATTCTTCCTAGGACTGTTTGTCTGAATTTTTAAAGTACTGTGGGCTCATGCTGAAACGGCTCTAGAAGTATGCATCATGAAAAATGCCTTTGCTTGAATCAGGAGCCACATAAGTTCAGTTCGTTGTAGTCTGTTGATACAAACCTCGGGTCATTCTTTCTCCTTTTTTTTTTTTTAATCTCTTCTGTGCATTTGAACTCATGTTTGAAAACATTTACAATATTAACTGAACTCAATCTTAGAGATCGTCTTTCATGATTTTAGGTCTCAACATTGGGATTATGTTCAAAATTATTCAGCTCCAAACTTACAAATGTTTGGCCTTAGGATCTTACATCCCAGAGTAGACTGTTAAGTTCTTCGGCTTCAAGGAAGAAAGTGCTGTTAACTTGACTGATGGGAATATCTCCTAATGCTGCTAGTTCTTCTATTGTTGACTTTTAGTAGTTATCTATAATTGTATGAAAAGAGTCGAGAGGAGAGGTTCTTACACTCGCTCCACATAAGAGTGCATAACCAATTACAGTGGTAATAAGAAGATAGGTAATGCAATTGCTCAGTATTTTTGAGGCCAAGAGGATAAACCTAAGGAGTTTGCCAAGATTCGGGAATGAAAGCTCGCATAAGATGAACTGTGAAACTGAACTGAGGGTTTAAGAAAAGAACAAAGTCACAAGTTACCTTTCCTGGCAAGGACAGTAGTGAATTTCTCACCATCTTCCTTGTGCCTTTAAACAGTCTGAGGGGAGGAGGGGAGGACAAGACTGGGCTGAACAGAGGTCCCTGGGTCCTGCCCTCTAGTAAGGGGCTCTGTCCCTGCTTCTAGCGAGGCTTGGGAAATGTGGGTACAATATTAATGTGGGTATTTCTACAGTCTCCACGGTGCAACTGCATGTACGTGTGTGTGTGTGTGTGTACGTGTGTGTGTGTGTGTGTGTGTGTACGTGTGTGTGTGTGTGTGTGTGTGTGTGTGTGTGTGTATTCTCAAATGAGGCCTGAGAAATGTGGATACAAATCTTTCTTAATGTAGGATTTTCCCCCAATCCCTCCATGATACATCAGCATGTTTGTGTGTGTGTGGTGTGTGTGTGTGTGTGTGTGTCTTCATAATAATGAAGTAGTCTTCATAATAATGAAGTCCTAGTCTTCATAATAATGAGTAGGTTCCCAGTAGCATCATACCATGTTTACCTGTCCTTTCTTTGTATGCATTCTGGATTAGTATAAAAAAAAGTCAAAATCTTGGTGTAATTCCATTTTTTGTTTTGGTGGGGTCTTTCTTTCTCTTCTTTATGTATTGTTTTACATTGTGACCACAGTTTCCCCTCCTTCCTCTCCTCCCAGTCCTCTGCCCACTTCCCCTCTGTCCCCCACCCATTTCTCCTCCATTTCAATTTAGAAAAGGGCAGCCCTCCTATGGATATCAACAAAACATGGCATATCAAGTTGAAGTAGGACTAAGCACGGCCTTGGGGTCTTTTATTGCTTTCATAAACAGTGTTTCGGCTGTACATCAAGAGATTCCCCAACCCACTTCTTTCTGCTTAAAATGCTTAGGGACTGGGGAGATGGTTCCGTAGTAAAGTGCTTGCTGCAGAAGCCTGAGGACCTGAGCTCAGATCCCACACCAAGTACAGCAGTCAGAGTCTATAACCCCAGGCCAGGGTGAACAGGGATGAGGGTTGGATATGAGTCAATTTCCGGACTCAGGCTGGCTGGGTAGTCCAGCTGACATGAACAGCCCCACGTACCGTGAAAGACTATGTCACAAAAGTACAGTGGCGTGTGACAGAGAAGTTGGCTTCTGTCCTGTATATTTGTCCACATGATCACATGCACCTCTTCATAGTCTGACACATATGTACAGCAACATACACACATGAGTTAAATAAATATGTATTAGCAGCACGCGTAGCCATGTCTAGACCCATCAGTTCGTTAGAATTTACAAATTAGGGCTATAATTAATTTTAAAGAAATCAGTATATGATCTGCCTTCTCGGTCACATGGATTAGAACTTCACAATGACTTTCAGCAGTGGCAGAGTCAGGGATACATTTTTTTTTTCAACCTGAATTGGACCACGGGGAGTTCTGGAGTGTCTTTTCTCCTCTTGAGGAGAAGCTGATTCATTGGATGTACATCATGCTCCTTAGATACAGAGAACAGGGTTCCCCGGGTGCCCCTGCTCTGATGGAAACCTGACCCTCAGCCCAGCCTTGGCTGCAGCCCAGGAGTCTCTACAGAATCCTCACTGCTCCTCTACCGGGGTTTATGTCTTCCCTGGCTTTACCCTTATTCCTACTGGGTCCTGTAATTCTGCTTTTCCTTTCTACAGGGCAGGCCACACCTCTGAGTAAGACTGAAGACTTGCTGGAAACAGTGAAAAAGCTGCAGAAAGGTCAGGTATCCTGTGTCCCAGTCTTAGACTTGAGTCAGACAAGCAGAGTTAGAATCTAAAACCCTCCGCTCACAGCTCTGGAAAACAACCCTATTGCACAGACTTATTCTTTTTGTTTGTTTGTTTGTCTGTTTTGTTTTCTTTTGTCTTATTTTTTCTGTTGTTTTTATTGAGTGATATATTTTTCTCCGCTCCTCTCCTTTCCTCTCCCCTCCCCTTCTACTCTCCCCCATGGTCCCCATGCTCCCAATGTTCTCAGGAGATCTTGGCACAGACTTATTCTTACTCGCTTTTATTCTTTGAGTTGAAAATCAAGTCCCACCACTAAAAATTCAAAATCTTTAAGAGGATAGAAAAGCCTCCACTTACAGAGGCACATAGACACACAGAGACAGAGAGAGGGACAGAGACGCACAGAGAGAGAAATGCACATACACACCATTCATCAGCCCATCCATCCATCCATTCATCTGTCCATCCATCCATCCATCCATCCATCCATCCATCCATCCATCCATCC